CACACACACACACACACACACACACACACACACACACACACGAATAAATATGGTAGGCTTACAAGTCAAAATCAGAAGATGACATGGAGCCTGGGCATGGTGGCTCACACCTGTAATGCCAGCACAGAGGAGCCTGAAGCAGGAGGGTTAGGAGTTCAAGACTAGCTTTTGCTACTTAAGAATTTCAAGGCTGGCCTGGAGTACAAAAGACTCTGTTTCAATAAAAAAAAAAATCAACAACATACACACATTCAACAACAACAACAAAACATGTTCTGGCTGGCATACTCAATTTAACAAGAACAGTTAACCAGAAATGGAACCACAGAAGCTAAAAGGCAAGGTTAGCATATTTAGAAATTTCCCCAGAACTATGGACTTTAATGGACTAGGTCTTTGTTTTCGTTTTGGCAGGTGGTGCTGTCTGTGTGCTGAGTTCTATGACCTGAATGGTATTTCCATCATGGAGTCAGTTGTGCCAAGGTCTGGGGGACTACTAAGGTCTGGGGCCCTGTTAACAACCCCAGCAGAGAATCAGCAACAGACCAAAGTTCTTCTTGGTGAACCGATGAGTTTGTTAGGGTTACTTACAGGAATATGGGTGAGGGTTTACTTACAGGAGCAGAAATGACTCACAGACAGCTGAATCACCAAAGCCCAACCCAGCACAGGTGACAGCTCATGAAAGCTGGAAACCTAGGGCACCCTCAACAACCTGCAGGCAGCTCAGCGAGTTGGAGAGTCCTTTCCAGGCAGCTCAGCTGGTCTGACTGTGTCTCTTAGCAGTCTTTATCGTGTATCCACTTGGAGCTTGAGGGGCATAGTGAATCTAGTCAGTTTCAAGAATTTCCTGAAGCACTTCACTGTGAGATGGCATGTTTCCCCTCCCTTTAGAACATCCTGAATCTTAGGCCGGGCGGTGGTGGCCCACGCCTTTAATCCCAGCACTCGGGAGGCAGAGCCAGGCGGATCTCTGTGAGTTCAAGGCCAGGCTGGGCTACCAAGTGAGCTCCAGGAAAGGTGCAAAGCTACGCAGAGAAACCCTGTCTCGAAAAACAAAAACAAAAACAAAAAAAAAACAAAAAAGAACATCCTGAATCTTAAGGAGCATCCCTATAAGATGGAATATTTTAGCTCTTGCTAAAAATATATATATGCTTATCATTCCTGCCAGGATTGCTGGGAATTTCTTGCATGAATTATTTAGTCTGTATAAAGGTTAAGCTGTGGTCCAGTTCAGGGGAACGAGTAAACCCCTGTAAAGTATTGGTCTGTGTTCATCTCTGTTTTTATTTTGTCACTATCACTATTGTCCTTATTGGCTTTATTGGGTTGGGGAAGGGTTGTGACAAGAGTGCCCTACGCTGGCTGAACTGGAACACACTCTATAGCCCAGGTTAACCCCAAACTCACATTGATCCTCCTGCCTCAGCCTCTTGAGTGCTGAGATTACAGGCACGAGCCACCATGGCCAGCTTTTATCTTTTTTTTCTGGAAAAGAACATTTTATTTCACAAAAAAAAAGATGATAAAGGCCATGTATGACAGACACACAACTAACATGGGTCTCAGGGGTGAAAGCTGAGAGCTCTCATTCTAAGATCAGGAGCAAGATGAGACATTTCCGCTCTAACCACTTCTGTTCAGTGCAGCGCTGGAAGTCCTTGATGGAGCAACTTGGCAAAGACATAAGGTTTCCGAACAGGGAAGGAAGAAGTGAAACTCTCACTGTTGGCTGGCGATGTGATCTCACACACAGAAATCACAACCGCTCCACTCTACCTCTAAAACTCTGTTAGAACAAGAAAAGAATACTGTTAAGTTGCAGGATCACACAAAAAATCAAGTATTTCAGTCCACTATATGAGAAAGAAATCAAGAAATAAGCCAGCGAGATCCTCAGTGGGTAAAGGTGCTTGCTGCCAAGCCTGGCAACTGAGTTCCATCCCTAGAATGCACGTGGTGGAAGGGGAGAACCAGTTCCCACAAGATGTTTTCTGACCTCTACACACCGAGACAGACAAACAGATAAATGTACTAGGAAAAGAAAGAAATCAGGAAAGAGATTAGCGGTAGAATGCTTGTCTGGAATACTCAGGGCCCTAGTTCAATCTCTACCACTGCCTCTCAAAAAAAAGTTTAGGCTGGGGATAGAGTTCAGTTGTTAGAATGCACATAGCTCTGGGTTTGCTTCCTGGCAGTGTGTGTGTGTGTGTGTGTGTGTGTGTGTGTGTGTGTGTGT